ATTGTATTGGGATTATATTGTACTTCGATAACAATAAAATTATTTTTACATTAAAAACATAGTTTTTACCACCTTAACCTTATCTTGGAATTTATCATGATGACGTCATCATTCCGATCAAATTTTTAAATGAGAGTGATGAGTAACTATTTAGCCAAGTTGGTGTTACATTTCATATCCACAGTATATGTAAAATGACCAAAAACATAAATTTATTTCCCCTACCCCCATCTTAAATAGTTCAAAATAGGGTATTTTAGGTCAAAATTTCAAAGTGCTGTAAAAAAAATTGCCCAAGCCCTAGGCATGGGGATTTTTTTTTCTGAGACACTATAGGGTATGCTGATTCAGAAAAACCAAAAATTAATTTTCCTTTACTTTTTTCCCGCTAAAGTTCATTTCAGCAGTTTTACAACCAGACTATAACCAATTTTTGTGTATATAGTAATGTTCTATGTGCCTGTCTATGTAGGAGAATGGGCATCTGCCGGTCCCATTGTGGTGGGTGTGGTCAGGTAGGGCATAAAAAGGGCCACAAAAATTGAGCTAGATCAACTTGTGAATTAACCCAATGAAACCTATCAGAATATATTCGGCATAGTTCAAGATATCATGAATGGTCAATGCCAGACATTTCCAATGGTGGGGGTGGCTGCCAGACGCAAGAAACCGGTACCCCAAAATTAAGCTAGATCAGCTTGTGAGTTAACCCGATGAAACCTACTAGAAAATGTTCGGCATAGTACCAGGTATCAGAAATGGCCACTGCAAGACATTTTTAATGGTTGGTGTACCTGCCAGACACCCCCTTATAGTCCGCCCCCGAAAATTGACCTAGATCAGCTTGTGAGTTAACCCGATAAAACCTACTGGAAAATGTTCGGCATAGTAACAGGTATCAGGAATGGCCACCACCAGACATTTTTGATGGTGGGGTGTACCTGCCTGACACCCCTTCATACCCCGCCCCGAAAATCGACCTAGATCAGCTTGTGAGTTAACTTAATGTAACCTACTGGAAAATATTTGGCATAGTACCAGGTATCATGATTGGCCACTGCCAAACATTTTTAGTGGTAGTGTGCACCCGCCATTTTTTTCCGTACGAAACATTTGCGTGAAACTCCACTCGGGCCGTCTCGGATTGATTCGACTACGAACAAGAGCAGGCACTTCGCAATGTCGTGACGCTCGAGTATTCTATTAGCTTTACTGTACTGTTCTTTATTTACCTAAGGCAGGCCTATAAAATCTTACCGATTTATGGGATGTAGGCTACGTCTGTAACTAACTGTGAGCTTCTTGTATGTTTGTTATCAAATGTACTACAACAACAGCTAGTACCCCTTCTATAGTAGTACCAGTGGTAAATATTTACATCTATCAAAGGCTAGATCAAAAGAAGCTAAATAATGGGCCTAGTGGAACAGCCTAGTTCCAAGCTGAGTTAGGTCCTACCTGCTAGCCCCCCGCCCCCACCTTCCGCCAGACTATGCCCCCTTCGCATGCCATTGACTGAAATTTTCAACAAAATTTAAAACATGAATGGGACAGTGAGTAAAAAAATATTAAATATCATAAATTAAATATATCACCCAGGCATTAATGAACTTGGCCTAAGCCTTGTAATGTAATTAAATAATAATAACAATAATAATAATATTAATAACAATAATATTAACAATTATAATACTTATAAATAACCATATATAATTTCGCCATTAATTAACTTAGCCTAAGCCTTCATTTTTAGTAATTCTAGGCGGAAGCAGGTCAACTCGGCCCCAAGTCAATTCGGCCCCAGTCACCTCGGCCCAAATTCAACACGGCCCCATGTCAACTCGACCCCATGTCAACCAACCCCAATTCAACATGGCCCCAAGTATATATTGTTATTATATTATTAGATATTTTATATACCTTTGTATAATTTTTATTAATATCATTTTAATATTATTTTTATTAATGCAGTTTTAATTATTGTAAGTGCATGTAAATGAAACGAAATAACAAAGGCAACGATTTAAAAACACTTTAATTTTGGCTTTGCATT